TTTTACCAAAGTTTTAAAAAGGTAATTGACAGGCTGATTCTAAAATTCATGTGAAAATTTAATGGATCTAGCTGATAAAAACAACTTTGAAAAAAAGGTCAAAGTTAGAGAACAAACACTACCTGACTTCAAGACTCTTTACAAACCTACAGTAATCAAGAATATGCTGTTGGCATCAAGGTAGAAAAGCAGATCAAAGGAACAGAATAAGGAATCCAAAACCTACCAAATCTACATGGATAACTGGTTTTTTTTTTGACAAAGATGCAAAGGCAATTCAGTGGAGCAAAGATAGTCTTTTCAACAAATTGTGCTGGGAGAAGTGGTCATCTATATTCACAAATACAAACAGTGTTTGTACTTGTGAATATATATCATACTATACACAAATATCATACTATACACAAAGGTAAACTCAACTCAAAGTGGATCACAGATATACATATAAAACCTAAAACTATAAGACTTCTACCAGAAAACACAGCAGAAAATCCTTCTGACTTTGGGTAAGGTAAAGACTTCATGAGTGAGACAAAACTACAATCTGTAGGTGAAGAAATCAATAAATTAGACTTCCTGAAAGTTAAAAACTTTGCTCTTCCAAAGATACTGTTGACAAGCCCTTGTTTGGGAGAAAATGTATAGAAACCATTTATCTGGTAAAGGGCTTATATCCAGAATACAGAAAATCTCACAAAACTCCTTAAGAAGAAAACAGACACTCCAATAAATAAATGGACAGAAGAGTTGAAAAGACACTCCACTAAAGAAAATATACAGATGTCAAATAAGCACATGAAAAGATATTCAACATCATTAATAATTAGGGAAAGAAAACGAAAAGCACAGTGAGATACTATTTCATTCCAGAAGAATGATCAAAATTTAAAAGACTGACCATACCAATCACCGGCAATTTTCTGGAAGCTGAAACCCTGCTTTCAGTGAAGAAATCAATAAATTAGACTTCCTGAAAGTTAAAAACTTTGCTCTTCCAAAGATACTGTTGACAAGTCCTTGTTTGGGAGAAAATGTTTGGAAACCATTTATCTGGTAAAGGGCTTATATCCAGAATAGGATATATCCAGAAAAGGGCTTATATCCAGCTGAAACACTGCTGGTTGGAATGAAAAATGGTACAACCACTTTGAAAACAGTTTGGCCATTTCTTACAATGTTAATCTTACCTCTACCACATGGTCCAGGGACTGAACTCCTAAGTATTGACCCTTGAAAGAGAATGCATATTTTCACAAAAAGACATTCACAAATGTTCATAGCAGCTTTATTTACAAGAGCCCCAAATGAGAAACAGCCAAAATGTCCATCGACAAATGGATGGATGATAAAATGTTTCGTGTGGTTGTATACTGCAATAGCATTTAGCAATCAAATGAAGTATATCAATGGATAAATGTAATAAAATGGATAAATATAAAAATAAGTAGAGTGAATGAAAAAACCCAGGTGTTGATCAAAAAAAAAAAAAAAAAAAAGAAACCACCTCTATGATTCCATTTAAATATATTTCTGGACACGTAAAGTAATGTATAGTGACAGGCATGCTGTGTTTACCTGGGGGCAAGACAGGGGGAAGGGTAGGTAGGCCAGGTACTAAAGAACTGAAATTGTGATGTCCTGGGAAATAATAATGGTATTTAGAACAATCTAGTTATCTTAGTGGACATAGCTGGGTATCATTATAATAGGGCAAACTACATTGCAATTATTAATTTTGAAAATGCTGAATTCTTGTACCTGACATTTTGATATTTTTAGGTAGCACTTAATTTCTGGCTTCTTAGAAAATTTCATTATAGAACAGACAAAAATGTAGAAACCATGGAAGAATGCATACTATAATCACAAATTGCTAGGAAGATCTTCTAACCTTCTAACTGCATAGTTCAACATCCATCAGATAAATTCATGGGCATCACTGACAACTATTCATACAGGCAGAAAATGTATGTAAATTTGTTGCAAATACATGTTACACATCAAGTTCCCTCCTCAAGTGAACAATTCATTGCTTTATGATAAAGTAAGGCATCTCTCAGCTGGGAATCAAGGTTACTACAAAAAGTAGTTTCTCATCTTCTGGACTATGTTGTGAACCTCACAGGAGCTATTCCACAACACGGTTTTGTTCAGATCTATGAACTCACTAGAATCAGGCATCATATCCTACCAGGGAGGGAAGTGCCAGGGGTCTCCTGAGGACAGCTGCCCTTCAAATCCTGAGTAGAAGCTTCAGCACCCATTACGTCCCAGATCCTGAGAACGAACCTCCTTCAGACCCTTAATATAAGTTCAGACACAGGCATGAAGAGTTGCACAGGGAGAAAGAGAATCCAGCCATTATTGTATATTCTTGGAGTAACTCTGTGCCTGGCACCATACTAGGCACTGGGTTAGTGACCAATGACACTGATAAAATTGGGTAGTGATCATATCCAGAAGGTACAATGGGTTTCTCACCAGGGCCTTTTTCTTCTTTCCTTATCTATCCCCTAACAACAAATCTGAAAAGGAATAAAAAGAGGCCTGAATTCACATAAACATTCCTGATCCCACAATAACCACAGGGCTATGGTCTTGTACCTGCTTTATCATGGTAAGTTCCAGAAATTCTGTGGGTGAGCGTAATTATCCCCATTACACAGAATGGGACACTAAGTTCAGTCTTTGCCTGTATCATCCTCCCACGCCCCTCCTTTACATGGGAAGTAGCCCTGAGACACCCTGGAACAGGACACCACACTCCCTGGGGCCAGGAGGGACCCACCTCTCTTTCTCACCAGACAGCCAGGGCACCAAGTCCCAAAGCAAGAACAAGGAGACTTGGTTGGAATCCCTTGTCTTTCCACACCCTGGGGCAGTTCAGCCCTACATCTTCAGCTGAGTCTCAAACACCTGAAGGCAACCCTGCTTTTTTCACCAGGCCATGTAAGTCTCCATTGAAAAGTCGTAACAGTCACCCTTATGATGTCTGGTTTCTATGGCAACCGAGATGTATACGCTTATCCTCCACACTGGAAATGCTGCCTCCATAGCGCCCTCTGTCCTCTTGCCTTTCTGGGAAAGCAAAAAACCTTCTCTCTTCAGACTACCACCTGAGAAAGCTTACCAATAAAAGGAACTAGACAGGGACCCAGGCAATTGGTGGAACTCTGCCCTCATTTGATAAAGGACAGAAGTCCGTGTTGTTGGGAATTTTGTTTGCTTTAAAACTGACCTTGAGGGAATATTATCACTACATAGAGAGCCAGGGAGGTATCCTAAGGCTCTAGACGATGAGCTAGCCCTGAGGGAGGGAACATGTACAACTCATACACCATGCTAGGCAGTTAGGCATCTGTGGCAGAAAACTGAGAGACTGTTTATAATCACATGACTAAACAAACTAGCGACACCAAAATATGTCATTTAAGCTATCTCTAAGTTATTTCAGGGAAGCAGGCTTAGAATAATATAGTCATTAGTAGGCAAAAACCTAATCAATTCAATCATACAATGGTTTGTCTTGACAAAGTCTTTTCCCCCCATCCCAGTATTTTATTCCATGTGAATGGACATTCACAACCAAAACATTTCTAGCCTCTCTGCACACTCCTTTGGGAGGAGAAACATGCTGCTCAGCTGGAGTCCTTCCTTCAAAACTCTTTGTAGTAAGCTGCCTTTCAGAGACACTCACTCTGCTCTGCCAACAGGAGGGATCTTACAAGAGGCCCACAGTTCTGTTCTTTCTGTGTCTCGCTGGCTCCCCAACTATTCCTATGGTCTTGCTTTACAATGCTCGAATATATTTTTTTAAATTTTTCTTGAGATGGAGTCTCACTCTTTCATCAGGCTGGTATGCACTGGCGTAATCTTGGCGCACTGCAACCTCCACCTCCTGGGTTCAAGCAATTCTCCTGCCTCAGCTTCCCAAGTAGTTGGGATCACAGGCATGTGCCACCATGCCCAGCTAATTTTTGTATTTTTAGTAGAGACACGGTTTCACTATGTTGGCCAGGATGGTCTCGATCTCTTGACCTCGTGATCCGCCTGCCTCAACCTCCCAAAGTGCGGGGATTACGGGCATGAGCCACTGCACCCAGCCTACAATGCTTGAATCTTTAAGGGCCTCTCAGCTCCCACCAAGTACTCCACTGCTCCAAGTCTTAGCACTAAACCAAGATATGTAATTTTAAAACTACATGAGCTTTATTTCTTATAAAGGTGATACTGGAGAATATGACTTAGATTTGCTGTCACATGGGCTATGAAAGAGCTCCAGAATTGACAGTGTCCACCTAGCAGTGCTGCATTGGGAGTCACAAATGCCAAGGATTGCAATGCATAATGACCTGTTGTCTCCTGAAGGAGCCCTGTCCATGTGTGTTCAAGAAAAGCGACTTTCTTGCCAAGGGCTATCCCTGTAGCAGAAGAAATGTGAAGAAATATCCCTTGTTTGGAATCATAACTCACTAAGCCAACCTCTGAGATTTTTCTTATGAAGTGGTTTGTAGCAACACACTCTCAGCACCTTAATTTACATGACTGTAGTAGAGGCTCATCTTACGGTATTATGCTCCAAATTCCAATGGTAGTGGAAAAATTACACATTGTGAAAATTTCCATTGGAAATCTCTTCAAGTAGGAATCAATGACATGTCCTATCAATGGACATCTCTATCCATTTATCAATGACAAACCTCTATCCACATATAAACCAACACTCAGATTATAGTCAAAATTATAACTAAGTTCCACCAGCCCTTTCTTATTCAGTAACAGATCACAGAAAAAGAGGGAAAGCTCACCAAAACCCTAATGTTTTGCATATATATTTCTCCTTAACCATTAACCCCCAAAATAGCCATTTATTATCACTCAGGAGTCTGTGTGTTGACTGGGCTGAGCTGGGTGTTTCCTGCTTCATGGGGTATCTGTCACCTGGGGATGCAGTCATCTGGATGCTCCACATATCTGGGACATCCAAGAGGCTCACTCACATGGATGATGACTGGTACTGGTAACTTCTGGGAGCTCAGCTGGCGTTTTGCCTGGAACACCTTGGTTTGACACAGAGTCCTCCATGGGTAGGGTAGCCAGAGAAAACAGAAGACACTCAGTTAAATTTGATTCCAGACAAATAATGAATAATATTTTAGTGTGTGACGGTTATATTTATATGCCAACTTGGCTGGGCTAAAGTACACAGCTCATCAAACATTATTCTGGATGTTTCTTTGAGGGTGTTTTTGAATGAAATTAAAATTTAAATTTCTGGATATTGTATAAAGCAGATTACCATCTATACTGTGGGTAGGCTTCATTTAATCAACTGGAAATCTGCATAGAAAAAAAAAAAAAGACTGACATCCCCTGAAGCAAAGGGAAGTGTGCTCGAAGATGGCATTTGGAATTATACTGCAACATTGGTTCTTCACCGGTCTGCAGTCTGCAAACACATCCTGCGAATTTGCGACTTCCAGCTACCGTAATCATGCTAGCCAATTCCTGAAAATAAGTCAGTCTCTCCCCAAACCCTCTATTTAGATAGATAGATACATACATATACACACATACTGTATTGGATATGTGACTCTGGATGTGGCATGCAATATTATTTTATTTGAACTCAACTGGGCATCTCATATTTTTATTTGCAAAATCTGGCAACCCTATGGGTACAGCCTTTGGATGTGTAAGTTTTATTGACCTTCTGACATGACATTTCCAATGAGTCAAGTCTAAGGAAAATGAGCAGCTAAGACTGAAAAAAAGGAAAAAAGCCGGTAATACCTAGTGCTGGTGAAATAAAGGGGACAGACTTTCATATACACTATTGGCGCAGCATTGATGTATACACTTTCTCAGGCCCATATTATTAAAGCTTAATGACTTGAATGGCCTTTGTGAAGAAGTCCTATTTCTACCAACACGGGAGTTTCAGCTGAGGGTTTAGAAAAGGCTCATCAAGGTGACTCTGATGTGCATCCTAGTTAAGAAGCCCTGGACGTGGGGGCAGGTCAAATTAATATATGAGATAGCTTCTATTTACGGAACAGAGTGTTTAGAGGGGCCTAGCTCCAGGTCCTTTATGTTAGTGTCTGGATTTGATCTCATGACAGCCCTGCTACTGAGGTACCAGTATCCTCTCTTCTTCATGGATGTCTGCGACTACAAAGCACATGCTTCTTACCACAGAGCTGGATGGCAAAAAATGTTGCTCAGTACGCCCACTGCCAGAGCCAGGCCCACTGCCAGAACCTGCCAGCTTGGGCACCTTGAGTTGCTGGTGGCAGAGCTTTAGCATGAGGACATATACTGTTAAGGAGTTTAATCTCTGTTCTCCTTGTGTTTACCCTTCCTGCATTTCTAGCAGAAAACCAGGCTTGGGCCTCCTTCCCCGTCTCAGGAAAGGTTTATAGCAGGGCTGGAAGCAGAAGCTGTCTGAAGCCAGTGTTTGCTTCATCCTGCATGAAAATTTAAACTTAAGGAAAGGATTGGGCTGCTTGTACCTGGCAGAGAGGGGAAGGGTTCTGAGGACACAGAGAAGGGAGAAGAGAGGTTTTTCCTGGACAGGGATGAGGTCAGAGGTCTACAGGTCCCTCCGGGAGTAGGGACCTGAGCATTGCTTCATATCAATGTTTGGAGAAGCTCTGTATATAGTTCATCGAGGCTGGGCATCCATCCATGAGACAGATTCTCCTGTTTGGTTGGAAGGATGGATAGCTCAGGGTCGGGAAGGGGGGTGGGGCTGAAGGTAGTAAACCAGCTAGGGAAATGGTCAGCTCAGCTCTCAGCAGTGGGGACACATGTGTGATAATGATCTGCCATGCTGTATCTGGAGGATACATTTCCACAAATGGTTATTCTTTGTCAAAGAGCATGACTATTTTTAATATATACTGTCTAGTTGAAAGTTAAAATCTCTTTACTAATGAATATCCCAACCAACTGCAAGATGAGAGCACCTGTTTCTCTAGATTTGTGCAATAATGGGTTTCCCAATGTTATTAATATTTGCTAATGTAATATCCTATCACTGTAATGTTAAAATACTTTTCATTTTTCTCCACCTATTTCCACATAAATGGCATATTTCACACGTGCATTTCTAAATGCAAACATAACAGTCCCACTTTATGCCTCAGAATATGTCCTTGAATAGTCCTAGAGTCTGATGAGAAAACCTGATGAGTGAGTTTGTGTTTATGCTGTGTCCTGTTTAAATGGAAATTGTGGAGTCATAAGAACGACATACACTGAAGCAGGAGAACAAAATGGTGGACTGTCTTTGCAGAGACACTGGGGAACATATATGAGAGAAGCAAGCATGGCCCCATCAACTCTTAAGTCTGCACTGCAGAGAGTCCCTGGCATGTGTGCAAGAATGGTCATGGCAGCGTGACCAAAATATCAAAATAACCCCAAAGTCACCTTATTAAAGACATCTTAGAAACATCATTTTCAGAAGAAATAATTTCAATAAGTGTTTGCTATGATTTGGATGTTTGACTCCTCTAAACCTCATGTTGAAATTTGATCCCCAATGTTGGAGGTGGGACCTAACAGGAGGTGTTTGGGTCAGGGGGGTGGATCCCTCATGAAAGTCTTGGTGCCATCCTTGCTGTGATGAGTGAGTCCTTGCTCTATTAGTTACCACAAGAGCTGGTTGTTTAAAACAGTCTAGTACCTCCCATCTCTCTTCTCCCTCTCTGGCCATGTGAACTCTGCACAAGTTAGCTCCCCATGGCCTTCCATCATGAGTGGAAGCTTCCTGAGGCCTTCATCATAAGCAGATGCCCAATCTTGAACTTTCCAACCATCAGAATTGTTAGCCACATAAAGTTTTTCTTTATAAGTTATGCAGCCTCAGATATTCCTTTATAGCAACACTAAGTGGACTAAGATAGTGGTATAAATATATATGGTTTATTCCATTTACCCATCAGGACAGCAGTGTGAAGAAAGTATGGTGAGTCCCATCTCACAGATGATCAAGCTCTGGCTCACAGAGACTAAGACCCTCTCCAGATAAGTGGCAGAATGGCAATGAGATTCTATCTTTTACCCTCCTACGCAATGGAACCAGCAGCTTCTTATTTGGAAGATGATAATTGTATACTTCCCCAGTATTGTTCCCTAAGGGTACTCACTCAACAGCCCTTCACATTGAGGAAGAGGATGGTGGAGATGAAATCCTGCCCTTTGGGCCATGAGGCATAGCTGGGGGGTCATATGGATTACCAGGTCTCTGAGGTTAACTGTGGGGTGAAATAAAGAAACATAACCTCATGTGGAACAAGAAATAACCGTGAAGAGAACAGAAAACAGCAGGCCCTCCAGGGATCACCTCTACCTCTCTCTGTCTTTGCTCCCTTCCCCACCTCATTTGTCTCCTGCTCTGTGTGACAGTATGGGATGTACACAGGTATCCAAGGTACCCTGAGAGAGGACAGAATGATGGGAAGATCTAGACCATGAGAAGGGTGGATCATGCAGCACTAGTCCTGGGTGTTGGCTCACCCACCAGGCGCTCCATCTCTTCCTACTTCTGTGTGCCTTACCATCACTCTACCACACAGTAATGAAGCTCCCACATTAACAGAAATATGCACTCTCCAAGGGAGGCTAGCAGGGTAAGTGACTTAACCCTGAGACCAGAACATCTCACAGTTACTGGTTTGGGTCTGGCACCAATAATGCAGAGAGATCTCTGGTCTCTCTTGCTCCAGTGTCCTGAACAGCAGACAGTATGAGGTTTTCATCAAGCCCCTTGGGACTGCAAAGGAAACACACTTTTCTCATGCAGATGGCGGGTAATATAAGGGGACAGGAAAACCCGCGAAACAGGAAGAAGTGTGGTGTGTGGTGACTTCATTCCCTTACCCCAAACTCCATTCACGGGGTCCATGATTCAGTTGAATAGAAGTGGTGGAATACCCTTCTTCCCTTCCCCAGCACCATCAGGGCACTCATTCCACCACATAGAAATGACACTGACTCACGGTGAAATTAGAAATGTGGGAGTGTTTTCCTTCTCCCAAATGCTCTCTAGTCACATGGAAAATAGTTACTATACACTAGAGAAACTTGACAAACCCCACCTTAATTAATTAACATCACCAGTGACATTAAGTAGGCCTCTTGACTACTAGATATAGTGTGACAAGAAGGGCACTTCAATTCAATGGTATTCTTTCTCGAAACACATAATCCTGGTCTAATCACAATAAGAACAACTGGCTAAGCCTCTACTCCTCATGACTGTCAGGGTCATGAAAGTCATCTGGAAGTTCCTCAAATGGATAAGCAGGGAGTTACCAGCAATTCCACTCTTAGGTACATACTCAAGAGAAATGAAAACATAAGTCTACCTGAAAACTTGTACACAAATGTATGTCGAATTGTCATTCATATTAGCCAACAACTAGAAATAATCCAATGACTATCAACAGATAAATGGATAAAAAATGTAGTCTATTCATACAAGATTTTTCAGCCATTAGAAAGAATGACATTATGACACAGGCTATACCATGGATGGACCTTGAGTATATATCATAACCAGGTGAAGGAAGCCAAACAATAAAGACCAAATATTGTATGATTCCATTTATATAAAGCATGTAAACAGGCAAATACATAGACACAGAAAACATTTGTGATTGCCAAGGCTGAAGCAGGAATTAACTGTATTCAAGCATGACGGGACTTTTTGAGGTAATGGAAATGTTAAAAGCTTAATTATGGTGATGGTAGCACAATTCTACACATTTACTAAAATTCATTAAATTTTACCCTGAAAATGGGTAAATTTCATTGTCTGTAAAGTATATTGCAAGAAAGCTGTTTAAAAATATGGTACTACAATTTTTATGTAGTATGCCAGCAAGACAGAACTGTTCGCTCCCCTGGAAGGGGGCTGAAGCCAGGGAGCCAAGTGGTCTAGCTCAGTGGATCCCACCCCCACGGAGCCCAGCAAACTAAGATCCACTGGCTTAAAATTTTTGCTGCTAAGATCCACTGGCTTAAAATTCTTGCTGCCAGCATAGCAGCCTGAAGTCCACTTGGGATGCTCCAGCTTGGTGGGGGGAGGGGCGTCCACCATTACTGAGGCTTGAGTAGGTGGTTTTCCCCTCACAGCATAAACAAAGACACAGGAAAGTTCGAACTGGGCAGAGCCCACCACAGCTTGGCAAAGCCACTGTAGCCAGATTGCCTCTCTAGATTCCTCCTCTCAGGGCAGGGCATCTCTGAAAAAAAGCCACCAGCCCCAGTCAGGGGTTTATAGATAAAACTCCCATCTCCCTGGGACAGAGCACCTCAAGGAAGGGGTGGCTGTGGGTGCAGCTTCAGCCAACTTAAACGTTCCTGCCTGCCAGCTCTGAAAAGAGCAGCAGATCTCCCAGCACAGCACTCGAGCTCTGCTAAGAGACACACTGCCTCCTCAAGTGGGTCCCTCTGACCCCCATGAGTCCTGACTGGGAGACACCTCCCAGCAGGGGTCGACAGACACCTCATATAGGAGAACTCCGGCTAGCATCTGACCGGTGCCTCTCTGGGATGAAGCTTCCAGAGGAAGGAACAGGCTGCAGTCTTTGCTGTTCTGCAGCCTCCACTGGTGATACTCAGGCAAACGGGGTCTGGAGTGAACTGCCAGCAAACTCCAGCAGACCTGCAGCAGAGGGGCCTGTTAGAGGGAAAACTAACAAACAGAAAGGAATAGTATCAACATCAACAAAAAGAATGTCCACACCAAAATCCCATCCAAAGGTCACCAACATCAAAGACCAAAGGTAGATAAATCCATGAAGACAGGGAGAAACCTGCACAAAAAGGCTGAAAATTGCAAAAACCAGAAGGCCTCTTCTCCTCCAAAGGATCACAACTCCTCACTAGCAAGGGAACAAAACTGGATGGAGAATTAGTTTGACAAATTGACAGAAGTAGGCTTCAGAAGGTGGGTAATAACAAACTCCTCTGAGCTAAAGGAGCATGTTCTAACCCAATGCAAGGAAGCTAAGAACCTTTTAAAAAGGTTAGAGGAATTGCTAACTAGAATAAACAGTTTAGAGAAGAACATAAATGACCTGATGGAGCTGAGAAACACATCATGAGCACTTCATGAAGCATATGCAAGTATCAACAGCTGAACTGATCAAGCAGAAGAAAGGATATCAGAGATTGAAGATCAACTTAATGAAATAAAGCATGAAGACAGGATTAGAGAAAAAAGAATGAAAAGGAACGAACAAAGCCTCCAAGAAATATTGGAATATGTGAAAAGACCAAACCTATGTTTGACTGATATACCTGGAAGTGATGGGGAGAATGGAACCAAGCTGGAAAACACTCTTCAGGATATTATCCAGGAGAACTTCCCTAACCTAGCAAGACAGGCCAACATTCAAATTCAGGAAATACAGAGAACACCACAAAGATACTCCTCAAGAAGAGCAACCCCAAGACACATAATCGTCAGATTCACCAAGATTGAAATGAAGGAAAAAATGTTAAGGGCAGCCAAAGAGAAAGGTCGGGTTACCCACAAAGGGAAGCCCATCAGACTAACAGCGGATCTCTCTGCAGAAACCCTACAAGTCAGAAGAGAGTGGGGGCCAATATTCAACATTCTTAATGAAAGAATTTTCAATCTAGAATTTCATATCCAGTCAAACTAAGCTTCATAAGCGAAGGAGAAATAAAATCCTTTACAGACAAGCAAATGCTGAGAGATTCTGTCACCATAGGCCTGCCTTACAAGAGCTCCTGAAGGAAGCACTTCAGGAGTGGAAAGGAACAAGCGGTACCAGCCACTGCAAAAACATGCCAAACTGTGAAGACCATCAATGCTAGGAAGAAACTGCATCAACTAACGGGCAAAATAACCAGCTAACATCATAATGACAGGATCAAATCCACACATAACAATATTAACCTTAAATGTAAATAGGCTAAATGCCTCAATGAAAATACACAGACTGGAAAATCGATAAAGAGTCAAGACCCATTGGTGTATTGTATTCAGGAGACCCATCTCACGTGCAAAGGCACACATAGGCTTGAAATAAAGGGAAGGAGGAATATTTACCAAGCAAATGGAAGCAAGAAAAAGCAGGTGTCACTTTATTTTTGATGAGTTTAATCTAATTGGCTGCATATTTTGTGACTTATTTATTTATATTTAGTACTATCTTTTCAAGGTTTTTTTTTTTTTTTTCAGTCAATAAATTTCGACTTTGCACTTCTAACTAGCTTGATACAGCTCCAGACAAAGCTGAGTCTAGGTAAGCAGTCAATCCGGTTGTGGACTGTATTAGAAAAATGACTTCAGCAACTTATGTGGAGAGACTATGCTCAGGTTCCTGCATCCATAAAAATTGGTATAATAACACTCATTGCCCTTTTATTTTGCAGACATCATAAAGATACATACGACAATTAAAGGAACCCAAATATATGGGAATAAACATATAAACCTGGGGTAGGACTGTTATTATAATGATGGTAAACAATGGGCATACTCAAAATCTGAGTAATTAATACAAACTGTCCAAGACCATTTTTAAATATTGAATGCATATGGAAACTTGGAAAGCAAGAAGGAATCACAAGCTGGGACACTGGGAAAGCTTGAGAGTCCTAATCCTGCCAGAGGCACTGCAGGGTGTAGACACTTGCAACATTCCTGTCTGACAGCTCCCAGGTGAGTAGATAGATTTGTGTCTTTCCCAGCAGCCTGTGCTGCTATTTACAAACAGGCATGGTTCCTCTCACTCCTGGTAGGAGCAAAGGCCAGTGGCCTGATGGGACAAATAACCTTTCCTTCTCTGAGCCCAGAAAATATCCATATTAATTGGAATTGAATATTGAAATGTACCACCTTTGCATAAGTCTAAAACTGGCAGCCTCTGGCTTCATTATGAGTCAGCTGTCAAATGGGAAAGACAGTGGGTGGGTCCTGAAACAAGGCTTTGAGTGTTTTCTGCATCTCTGTGAGCAGCCAGGCTTTCTACTGCTTATACTATTAAAGTCGAATATAAAACTGTCATTTAAAAGAAAGTGAAAAAAGGATGAGTTTGTG